TTGCTGCAGAGGTGGACGTGGAGGGCTGATGGCGCGCTGCTGAACGAAGCGCGTGGTGCCTGCCTGGGGATGGAGCAGATGGGCACCAAATGGCTGGCAGTCACACAGCCCTGCAATCCACAACAGCCCGAGCAACAGTGGGAGTACGTTCTGTACGGCACGTTGACGGGCATCATTCGCAATCCATCGCAAAACTTGTGCATCACTGCGAAGCTCAAGAAAGATGCCCCGCACTCCGCGGATGACGTGCACCTGGCATCCGAGGTTGTGCTTGCCCCATGCGACGACCACCTGTGCGCGCAGCTGTTCGACGCCAACGTCCCCACACCCAACGTGCAAGGTTACAAACAGCGGTCGTTTGCGGCGCCGCCGCACCGCAGGCGCCAGCTCGCCCCTCCATTCGTGTCTGCGGCTCCACAATCGGCCGAAAAGAAGGCAGCCTCGGTCGCCACTGGGAAGGCCCATAAGGTGCTGTGCTGGGTCATGGCGCACCCAACCAAGCTGGACACAAAGGCCATTGCCGTGAACCAGACGTGGGGCCATCAGTGCGACAAGCTGCTGTTTGTTGTCGCTGAGCACCACCAACCGCTCGTGCCCCCTCTGGACACGCTTCCTCTGTTGAAGGTTAATCTGGGCAGGGAAGAGTCCCGCAACACGCTCTGGCAGAAGAGCAAGCTGGCATGGAAGCGCATCATTGACGAGCACGCACACGACTACGACTGGTTCTTGCGTGCAGATGACGACTCGTACATTGTGTTTGACAACCTGCGTCGCTTCATCCAGAACAAGGATCCTTCACAGCCGCAATATTTCGGGCGCGTGTACAAGTCCGATGTGGGCGATTTTTACTCCGGTGAGCAGCGTCTGCGTCTGTGTGTGTGTGTGTGTGTGTGTGTGTGTGGTGTGTGTGTGTGTGTTGCGTGTGTGTGTGTGTGTGTGTGTGTCTGTGTGTGTGTGTGTGTGTGTCTGTGTGCTTCGTGTTGTGTATGTGTGGTTTGTGTTGTGCGCATCTGTGAGTATAAGCCTGTTGTCTATCCGTCAGGGGTGCCTGTCCTTGTTGCCAGTGTGTCTTTGGGGCGCTCACGTTTCAGCATTTCCACTTGATTGTCTCATTTCCCTCATGCACCTCCGTGCTGCACTGAATTTCTTTTCTTTCGTGCACTTGCTGTTAAACTCCACCGTGCTACCGTGGCAGGTGGCGGTGGCACGCTGCTGAGCCGAGCAGCTTTGCAACTGCTGGGAAAAGCGTACGACGACCACCCAGACTACTTTCTGGACTCCGACACATTTGCAGACGACATGGAGGTGTGCCGCACACTGCGTCGGATGGGCTTGGACACGCAGACGTCGCTGGACAGCGATGGGCGGCAGGTGTTCTTGGCGTTGGGATTGGAGGAGGAGCGGGGCGTGACACGCGAACGCGATGGCTCCCACTGGATATGGAAGTACGATCCGACGTTCAAGGAGGGCATCAACTGCTGCTCCAAGCACTGGATCGCCACTCACTACATCGGTCGGTGTGTGCGTGTGTGGAGGTGTGTGTTGAGCAGGACGAGTGTACTCACGCATGTCTTGGCGAAGTTTTGCCACCCATTGTTTGGTTGCTCACTTGTGGGAGAGGAAAGTCTCTCTACGTGTTGTTGCAGCCACAGTCCTCACACAACACAACACACCTACACACGCACACACACACACACTCTCTCTCTCCCTCCCTCTCCCTCTCTCTCTCTCCCTCTCCCTCTCTCCCTCTCCCTCTCCCTCTCCCTCAAACGAGACAGACAGCCGAAGCATGTTCTTCATGCACGATATGATTCAGATGCGATGTGAGGCTGGGGGCGCCGACCCGTGGTGGAGCAGTGCGGCAGCAACGGTCAGGTTTACTGCGTAATGTAATAACTTGGACAAAGAAGGGATTCGGGACAAGGAACGCATGAGGAGGAGGGGAGGAGGAGGAGGATGGGGAGGAGGAGGAGGAAGCAAGAAGGCGGTGCAACGCCAGAAGATGGCCCGGGGGGGGGGAGAGAATCAAGAAGTGAGCGGGGCTCAATCACAATCACAATCACAATCAGCGCTTCTTGTTCGCCGACTTTTCACGTGTACATGAAAGTAAAACAGCAATAACAAACGGCGAAAGGAGGACTGGAAACGGAGAGATGGAACAGGACGCGCGTGGGTCATGACAGATAATAATATTAAGGCGGTGCACAGGCCAAGCAGAAGCAAGTCACCAGCATGGAAGACATGATGTGACAACAGCAATCGAAAAACAGACAGGGGAGGTGTGTTGCTGCCGCCCCAAACGCTGCTGGGGGCATTTCGACAGGAGCGTGCTGAGCTCAGCTCAGCTAACACGACGATGGACACTGGTGTCCGTTGCACCACAGCTGCCCCTCGTTGTTGCTGAGATCTGAACAGCATGACACGTTGCACGTGGCCTTGTCTGTTCCACCGCGGCCTGTGTGTGCGTGGTGTGTGTGTGTGTGTGTATGTGTGTGTGTGTGTGTGTGTGAGAGGGACGTTTACATGCGTGCGAGCGGGTGTGTGTTTGTGTGTGTTTGTTTGTGTGAGGGAGATGCTGCACGTTTACATGCGAGCGAGTGTGTGATGTGTCAACGCTCGCACGGGACGTGAACGTCGTTCGCGCATCGCCATCAAGACTTTGGTAACCTAAAGACTTCATTCTCTCACCTTGGCAGTTGCAGGTGAGCATGCAGTCGTCATCGAGTGTGCAGTCCGAGCACGAGTCCATGTAGCTTCCAACCGGCATTGGGCATCGCTTGACCACCTGAAGGTTGACCAAGATCAACAAAGCATAAAGGTAGTTTAGTTCTTCACATTACACACACGCGCGCGCATACACACACGCATACATGCACAACAACACACTCACATACACGAACAACAGCGCACAACAGCGCGCATGCGTGTGGTAGAACCACAGCGCACAGCCGCCCCTCAGCACCACCACCACCACGCCTCACGTTGGTGCGGATACGATGCACAAATTCGGTCGGATGCACAACATCAACGCCGGCAGCCATCAGCTTCGTCGCAGCCCTAACCAATTGTTGTGGAGGAGGTGATCAATGGGAGGTGGGCGACAAAGGTGAGAGGTGAGGGAAAAAGCTTCTCGCATCTCAAGTCACCAGGATCGCACACACACACACACAACACACACACAACACACACACAACACACACACACACAACACACACAACACACACACAACACACACACGCACACACGCACACACACACACACACACACACACACACACACACACACACACACACACACACTCACACACACATTCTCTTTACACTCACACATCAGGGCATTAAATAGAATAATTATTAATTTTTGGTCTGACCTGAGTAATTTTTATGTTTGTGTTGCCACGCTTGTGAGGTAATGATT